GCGCTCCCTCCGACTGCCCGGCAGTACCCTGGGCCGGACTCTGCGGGCCGCTACCTGGAAGCTTCGTCTTTCTGGGTACCGGGCGGCGCGGCCGCTCCGTCACCTCCGGCAGCTGTTCCGAGCCTTTCCGGCCCCCCCCCCCCCACGGGTCACTCTAGGCATTCGTCTCGATGGCTTCCGGCAGCACTTCCGGCCTGATCGCAGTTCCGGTGGGACGTACCCCCACTTCCGCTTCCCGACCTCTGAGACTCGGCGGAGCGTCAGGGGTTCTGCCTTCTGGATTGGTTGCTGGGGAAAGAATGACGGGGACCTTATTTTCTCCTGCTTTGCTACAATAAAACTTTATTGGTAGTAGGAGCACTAGCGCTGTATCTACAGTCCTCCCTTCTTCGGGTTGGCTGTGTCGGCTTCGAGCTGCGGCAGATGTGGAGATAAGGGCGGCGCGAGATTCCTGGGACCGTAGGAAAGCAGTAGTGGAAGGGGGCAGGGAACAGTAAAGGATGAGGTGGAGAAGAACGAAACAACGATTAATAATAGAAGTTTAGCGGCGGAGATCATCTGAGAAGTTCAGCCACTCACCTTTTTGAGGAGCAGGAGAGAAGTTTGAAGAGTAAAGGAAATAATGGCAAGTACTGAGTGCTTACTATGGATGAGACGCAGTTTTATCCCGTTGGATCCTCAAAACCGCCTTACATCCCTAGCATGACTCCGGGATACCCTTGGCCACCGCAGTGACCACTTACACTGGTCGAGTCGACGCCTCCCGTAACCTGTCTACTCCTGGGGAAGGAAAGACAGGTGGACATGGAGGCTTATAAAAATCCTGGGATTTACCTGGAGCCGAGGTCTTTTCAAAGTTAGCAGTTATCTTCTTCGCCATAATACTTTATTGTTAACGTTGTTTGTTTTGCGGTGCTGATGGTGGAACGCAGGACCTCAGTGCATGCTACACCCCAGTCCGGTGATTCTTAAAACAGCCGGGGGTGTAGTTCAGGGACAGCGTGTCTTGCTCTGGGTTCCATCCACAGCACCATAAGACAAAACAAAACTAATATATCTTATAGTATTTCATATTTCCTGTCAGGCTTAATTTTTTGTTTGTTTGTTTTTGTACTGGGAATCCAACGCAGGACCTTGCTTTGCCAGGCAGGCGCAGCACCACTGAGCTACATCCCCGCCAAGAAGGTCAAATCTTGGAAGCCTCTGGTAAGCACTGAGCTAAAAGCTTTACTTAACTCATTTGAGGCTCCCAACAATCTAGTAATTATCTCCATTCTCTAGAACAGATCAAAGCCCAGGGAATTTAAGTAACTTGTAATTGACGTGAAGTTTTTGTGTATCTGTGTGTGGTTTGTTTTGTATTTGGTCCGTGGATCGAACTGGGGACCCTGCACTTGCGAGGCAGGCGGGGGGACCACTGATCTAAATCCCCTGCCCGGTGATGTGAAGTTGAGAAAGTGGAAAAAGAGAAAAAATCATAAGATTAGTACACTGCTAGGGCTGAAGGGCTTTAAGAAGAGTTTATGGTCCATGATCCTAGGCTTGTGATGGTAAATAAACAATGGGAAGGAGAGAGAAAAGAAATAGAGAAGTGAATGGAAGAGATGGAACCAAATTGAGAAGAACTAAATCAAATTAAACAATCCAAATTTGAAGGAACCAAAAGATTGAGTCTAAGTGTATCATGTATTGCACCACCAAACATCATTTTTAAAGAGAAAGAGAAAACTGTAAGAGAAAATACATAGTATTGATTTATTTGTGGTGCACTTTTAGTTCAATCTTTACAACAATCCTTTGATGCGCTTATTGATGTCTTGGCTAAACTGTGAGGATGCTGAGGATCTCAGAGTGAAATAATTTCTTGAAAAAGGTCACCAGAGAATCAAGTGCATGCTTATTAGATTCCAACACTGTGTTAAGAAAGGAAAAAAGACGAATTCAACCCCCGGTACCAAAAAAAAGAAAGAAAAGGAAAAAAGAAAAGCGGAAGAGGAGAGAGAAACATACTCTGAGACCTAGTCCTGATTTGCCTTAAACTAGCTGTAACTGTAAAGCAAATTATACTGCCTTCTGTTTCCTGTTCCCACATCTGCCAAGTTGAGACGTTAGAAGTAAGGCCCTTTTTTTTTTTTTTCCTCAGTACTGGTAATCGAACTCAGGACCTTGCACTTGTGAGGCAGGTGACAGAACCACGGAGCTAAATCCCTAGTCCAGATGTAGGGCCAAGCGGGACTCTGATGATTTATGATTCTAAGAAAGGAAGAGAGGAGAGTGTGAGCAAACAAAAGTACAAGAAGACGATTTTGAGAAATAAAAGAGATGGGATAAGGAAATGAGGTTATGAAGAGCAGAGATGTGAGAAAGGAATAGAAATGGGAAGAGAAAAGTTGGGAGGAAAACAATGGTCTCCAAGAGGAGGATGGGGACTGAGTATAGTAAGCAAATCCTAAGAGGTAACATCATTCCGTTTGCCAGAAGTAGGTTTTCTTATGCTAATGAGAGCAAAGACAAAGCACTGAATAAAACCTAGAGAAGCTGACAGACATCTAAGAGGTCAGACACATGGTAAAATATTCATTATTGATTCAAGAGATACATTTTGAACACCTCTCACAGTCAGGTGTTTAGCTACTGGGAATACAATGTCTCTGTCCTCTCAGTATTTATATTTTCAGGTCCTAAAAAGCAAATGCACAAATAGGTGATAAACAAAGAAAAACAGGAATGCAGGAGACGTACACTATTTTATACACAGGACTCAGGAAGGGTCTTACTGGTAATGTGGGCATTGGGCAGAGATCTGACACGAATGAGGGGACAGGTTTATTTGGAGAGTGTTGTAGGCAAAGCCCCCTGTACAACTGCAGGCAAAGCTCAAAGGTGGAAACACTTCCTGTGTCTGTGGAGCAAGAGGCCTATGTGGCCGGAGCAGAGTGAGTAGAGAGAAAGAAGGTGGTCAGATCATGTCACAACTTGGTAAGGTAGCTCATGTTCTGAGTGAGATGGGCAGCTGACTGAGCGCTCAGGCAGAGAAGTGTCCCAATTTGACCCATGTGTTTAAAATAGGAGGGTGAGGCCAGGGATTTGGCTCAATGGTTCTGTTGCCTGCCCCACAAACAAGGGCCCAAGTTTGATCCCTGGTACCAAAAAAATAAAATAGGAAGATGGCTGTGCATGCCTGTAATCCCAGCATTTGGGAGGCTGAGGCAGGAGGAGTGCTGTGAGTCCAAAGCCACACTGGGCTACATAGTGAATCCAACACCAGCCTGAACTACAAAGTGAAACCCTGTCTTGAAAAAGATAAAAAATAAAATATGATGATAGCACCCTGGACAGAAGCTACAGGACCAGTCAGCCAGACACCACAATGATACGGGAGAGAGATGATAATGATTTGGACCAAGGTAGGGGCCATGGAAATGAAGAGAAGTCATTGGATTTTTTTAATGTTGAGATAGTTGCGAAGTTGCGCAGGCTGGGCTTTAACTTGAGATTCTCCTGCCTCAGCCTGGGATTTCAGGTGCACCACTATTCCTGGTGCGTGATTCTATCTATCTATCTATCTATATACTGTTTTGTTGTTGTTTTTTTTTTTTTTTGGCTTGTTTTTTTTTTGTTTTGTTTTTGAGACAGGGTCTCACTGTGTAGTTGAGACTGACCTGGATCTCACTATGTAGCCCAGGCTGGGTCTCGAACTCACAGCAATCCTCCTGCCTCAGCCTCCTGAGTGCTGGGATTACAGGTGTGTGCCACCACACCGGCTTATTTATTTATTTTTGTACCAGAGATTGAACTTGGATCCTTGCACTTTCGAGGCAGGCCTGGAACCACTAAGCTAAATCTCCAGCCCAATTCTAAATTTAATTTAAAAGAATGAACAGAATTTGCAAGTGCTGCCAGGGATTTAGCTCAGTGGTTCTGCTGCTTGCCTCACAAGTGCAAGGTCCCAAGTTCATTCTCTGGTAAAAAAAAAGAATTTGCAAGTGCATTAAATGTGAGGTGTGAAAAAATGACGTCGTGATAAGTTGTACCAAAGCTTCAAAGTGGAGATCATTTCAATTTTATATAACCTTTTCCGGAATATAGGAGAAGACGGAACACTCCTCCACCTATGTAACTAGAATTACTTCAATAACACAATTGAATAGGATCAGTGCTAGAAAGGAAAATTATAGGTAAATCTCAGTAAGAGACACAAAAATCTTCATTAGAATATTAGCAAATTGAATCCAGAAGCATGCAAAAAAAAAAAGAGAATACATCAAAACTCATATGATTGCCGGGCATGGTGGCGCATGCCTGTAATCCCAGCACTTGGGAGGCTGAGGTAGGAGGATTGCTGTGAATTCGAGATCACCCTGGGCAACATAGTGAGTTCCAGGTCACTCTCAAGTACATAGTGATACCCTGTCTCAAAAAACAAACAAACAAAAAACTCATATGATTTAACCCAGAAATTTAAGAGCAGCTTGATGTTTGAAAAACACATTCATTTTATTCTTCATGTTAAGAGATAAAAACAATAAATTATACAATCATCTCAATACCTACTGAAAAAGCATGTGATGAAATCAGCATCCATTTGTGCTTTTAAAAAATATATTAAAGCACTTACCTAGTAGTATGAGCAAGGCCTTGAGCTCCATCTCCAGTGCAGAAAGAGGCCAAGGGGCTGAGATTTAGCTCAGTGGTTCCCTGCGTCAAAAAAGTGCAAGGACCCAAGTTCAATCTCCAGTACAAAAATGAATAAGCCGGGCATGGTGGCACATGCCTGTAATCCCAGCACTCGGGAGGCTAAGGCAGAAGGATCTCTGCACCTTTGAGACCAACTTGAAATACATAGAGAGACCTTGTGTCAAAAACAAAACAAGGGCTGGGGATTTAGCTCCGTGGTTCCACCACCTGCCTTGCAAGCACCAGGACCGGAGTTGTTCTCCAGTACCAAACAAAACAAAACAAACAGCCTGTAATCTCAGCACTTGGGAGGCTGAGACTGGAGGATTGGAAGGCTGAGACTGGAGGATTGGAAGGCCAGCCTGAACAATTTAGTGAGATCCTGCTTATAAATAAATAAATAAATAAAAGCCTGAAGATGTAGCTCAGTGTGAAGGACCTGGCTTCGATCCCCAGTATCAATCAATAAATGA